TGGAAAAGAAAATCGGTTACCGCAATTGGTCAAATAGCGGCTACAATTTCGGATTTCTACTTCGACACAACATCGGGAAATACGTCTGACGCATGGTTCAACCGTTGAAATGACACTTTCCAACACGAATTCCAAAGCAAGGACGATGCTTGAAAATGCCGTTTGTTGATGAGAAAACTCAGTACAAAGGAAAAAGAACGTTTCACCAATTTTATATTACCCAAACAGGCTAAAGATTCTTATTTTTCCGGAAATCTTTAAACAGTTAACGGGCAGTGAGTCACTTTCCTTGTTTAATATTAGATACAATTGTCTAAAGTTGAAGAAGCGGAATATTCACGACTATGTCATCTTCGCAGGTGAATGAGAGAAATTTCAACTGAAATTACCCACAGAAGGCAAGTTAAAGTGCCTCATATTTATTGCTGGGTTATAATCTTTAAACGATGTGGACATTCGAACAGTGTTGCTGTCTAAAATCGAACAAGACAAGGACATAAAAAAGAAAGCGCTGTCGATCGAATATCAATGTTTGATCAAACTCAAGCACAAGTTTGTTACAGACTGATAACCCGTCTGTTACTAGCAATATTCGAGCAGGAAGGAAATCAACTACCAATAAAAAAACACCCACTCCTTTTTTACCGTGAGGCGAATGGGAATACGCGCGTTATTGCCTATTAAAAAAAAATGCCAATTTTGCTCACGTCACGGACACAAGGACGTTTTTTGCAGCCCCCGGAGAGACAAAACTGTAACAGCAAAAAAGAAACCCTCAAATTCAAGAGATTGATATAACCGAAAAAAAAGCTTATAATCGGAGGTCTAAAGCGAATTCAGTTTTTGCAATTACTGAATTGCTACGTGATATCTGTCCTCCTTTACGGTAGCGAGGGTTGGACGGTCTCCTCAAAGATGAAGAAGAGACTCAAGGCGACGAACGTATGGTTCTATAGAAAGATGCTAAGGATAGCATGGACCGAACAACGATGAGGTTTTGGAGAGGATGCAAACAAGGAGGAAGCTTATACTTGACATCACGAAGAGGCTGCTGAAATTTTTTGGATGCTTAATGAGAGTGAAAGCTTGGAGGATTTGAAATTCACAGGCTGGACAGAGGGAAAGAGGGTCAAGGGAAAGCAACGCGTAACATACTTATCGGGTTAAAGCAAGTGGATAGAAGTAGCAAAAAGGGCAAAACATATTGAGAACTACAAAAATTGGAGTACGTGGAGAGCCATGATCACCCACGTCCTGAAGGGATACGGCACATAAAAGAAGAAGAAGAAGGGAATACATTATTGTTTGCATTAACAACTGTTCTGTAAAATTCTAGTTGGGCACTTTCTGATTCTATATGTAAGCGCTCTTTTTGGCGCCTAATAAAGTAACCAGTGAGTGTTTATTATGTCGTTTTTTTATTCTCATCATCTTCGGATCATTAACATATTTACAAAATCATCTCCAGTTCTAGTTTATTGATGAAATATTGAAAGCCTACATACATTTGTCTTTTGAAGGAGAAGTTACATTTTAAAGTTCATTCATGAACAGAGATCGTTTGTCTGTTTTAAGTGTGTATGTTATTAATTATCGCCCTCTTGTCTCCCAGGCCACATCCCATCCACACCCTTATGAAAATACTTCTTACTTCATGTTGAGTAATTGAAAAAGTCAAAATTCTTTTAAATTTACTCTAATATTGTAAACCCTTATGTCATTAGAAAATATGTTGCTAGACGAGCACCATTGGCTCTATGACTGTACCAACAAAACTACACCAATGGCCACTGTCTTATTTAGCTGGCGTATAAGGCGTTCTATCCAGATAACATGCTCAATATACAAACAAACGTTCGAACATTGAATTTCGAACAACCAGATAAAATAAAACCATGCGTTCATGTATGATTCTTAAGTTAAGTTTATTCTTTGAAAATTCTACGTGTTCCTTAAATGACTTTGATTTTGCCATATAGATTTTATAGAAGAAGAAAAAAGAATTATTTGGTTCTAATGTCACCCAACCGCCTGCCTACCACCCTCTTTCGTTAATTGCTCCGTAACAACTCTTTATTTTTCATCACACACTTCGATCTTTGCATTGCTTCCAAAGAGGTGGCACAGCCCATTATAGGAATCCAAGCTTTAGACAAATAAATTGCATTAAAAACCTTAAGTGCTGAACACTAATTTTCGGTGGATTATGAGAAACAGAAAATTATCAATAAAATTAAGAAAAAAATTGAGTTAGTCATGATAAACTAATTGTAGACAGTTATACTCTCCGGAGTTACTTCCATCAACTTTTAATTATTTTTTTTTTAATGAAAATGGTTCTTAGATTTATTATAAACAGAAAAACGTTCCTTGTTAAAGTAAATATCTTTTTGTTCCACAGGTATGATTCCTTTGATGACCCTTATTGTTAACGTCAAAATACGACGTGACAAGTGAAATTTATACGACTGCAAACTTCAGATAAGAAGTCCTGGAGTCGTTTTTCCCCTTCATTGCCAGTTTGTGATTGTCTTATTTATAATGGGATTAATATTAACAACAACTTCGATGTCAATATAATTCAAAAGACGATAAAGAACACTTGTACATCTTTGGCAATTCCTTTCAAATTCAAACTGTCATTTTAACAATATTGGTTTATTTATAAATTGGCTGCTGAACAAGTTTCATATGATTATATTTTATATGCAGATACTTGGGAGTGGATGTAATTTAACATTGCTTCGGTGATTCATGTTTATTAGATGAACGCAGCTGCATCAGTAAATCCATATAATGACGTGTAATTATCACTTGAATTTTGATCGGAATTTTTCACTGTATAATTTCCGATCAATGTTATTAATATTTATCACTTAATTAAGTGAATAGACATGGAAAGAGATTGTATTTAAAAATGAATATTTGTGGGGGAAAATAAAGGTTTTTTTTTATCAATAAGCTATGGATCTATTGGTTTACTTATGTAAGCACGTGTTTATCTCGGGATATTTGGACCATCAACACATTTGTAAAACTAACACCAAATTTAAAGGAGTGGTTAAATATTGATATATACAATCACGTTTCGTTTCTTTTTACTTTATGTTCGCCATTTCTATTTTAGAATTGTCTGACTGTTGTGTTTAATGTTTTCTTCAATGTTGTACTTGTGTATGTGCGTGTGCCCGTGTGTGTATGAGAGAAAGATATATGTAAGAGGGAGACAGAGGGAGAGAGAGATGTGGAAGGAAATGTTACGCCTGATTATATGACTACTTCGACACACGAATTAATACCCTAAACTTTTAAAAATTCACAATGAGAAAATGTATCCTCAAGGATACTCTTCGCCTTGTTGGGACCAGAATAAAGACACAAGAGTAGATTTGAGTTAACAAATATATTAACGAAAATCTGTAATACAATAATATACAAACGGGCAAGAATATTAAGTCCGAACTGTCAGAGCTGACTGTTGGGAAGAAAACTACTTTGACAAAAACAGTATTTGCTTTTATTTGTAACTTGGAAGAGTTTATTCATGTATGGGTACTTTACCATAACAGAAAATTACTCTAATACCTACTTTCCACTGTCTCTTCGAAAGTGGTAATTCTTCTAGACAGTGTTATAGCTCAAGAATGGTCACGGCAAAAGTCTGTACTGCACTTGATTCAAAATCGCCGAACTTTGAGAAAGTATCATACATATATGTATATCTGTATCAAAACAATTATATATAAAAGTTAAATGAATACTGAAAGGATTGTGCAAATAGACATGGGAATATTATAGTTTCTGACTGCAACTACACAGATAGAAATGGACTAGATGGGTTTGTTTAGATTCACTTTTCGTCTTTGCTGTTTAGTATATTGTGCCAGTCCCACGTCACTTTGGGATTAACACGAATAAGAATGAAAAATTTATCAACATTTAATAAAGTTATTTATTTACGTTTAAAAACATGAATACCACGATTAACATAAACCAAATGTCCTATCTTATATAGAGAGAAAATGTCAGGTGAACTTACCAACCTGGTGGGGTGAAATAGTGCCAGACAACTTGTATCTTTAAACCCTTGGTAACTGGTACCCTTGCGACAGGGAGAATTCCTTGCGTGTCATTCCAGAGCAGGTCAGAATCTCTTCTTTTCGTAGTCAGATTTTTCCAAACCCACGTGGTAACCAATGCCAGACCTTCCCGTATCATGCGAACTATCCTTTATATATTAGAGCAGACGAATTTTATAAACCCAACAAGTGTTTTCACAGTGTTTCGAACTTGTTCTCTTTGGCCTTCATCAAGTGTCGTGTTCGGACTACGTGTTCTCAGACGTTGAATTCCCGAAAACAACAGGCACTCCAGGAAGGCCAGAAAATACGAGACCGAAACATTGCGAAAATACAGAAAAAAAAAAAAAAAAACAAAAACAGGAAAATTAGTCTGAACCAATCGACATACAATGATATAAACAAGTCATCTAGCAACGTTCAGACAAAGAAAAGATAGGGTTTTTTTGTTTTTTTTTTTTACAAATTTATCGATCTACACCGACAGCAAAAATATATTTTAGCATCAATTAATCAAAAATTAGGGGACATGAAGTAAAATTACTTCATTTATGCTTAATTTTTTGCCGACGATTACTTCTGCTCAAAGTGTAAAGTATAAATTTCTTAGCATGATGCTTAAATATATAAATTCACCGACTGGTACTACATCCTGTAAAATGTTATAGAGGCTACCATATTTGGCTGCAACGTATTTTTCAGCCGGAGTTAATATCTGCCTAAATCTGTTAGTTAAACAATATGATTAAATTGGGATGGAATTGTGGGATCGCCACGGGTGTAAAGTTCAATAGACTTTTCTCTTCTTTTCTTTTAGTTCAATTTAACCAACTCATTTTTTAATTTTACAAATCAAGAATTTTGCAAATGAGGTTTTTTTTTTGTTTTTTTTTTGTTTTATATTGAGGATCTAAACTTTACTTACGGCCATATCACGTTGAAACACCGGTTCTCGTACGATCACTGAAATTAAGCAACGTCAAGCCTGGACGGTGCCTAGATGGGTGACCGGTTGGTAATACAAGGTGTTGTAAACTTGAAATGTGCGGGTGGTGTAATGGATAATGACTCGGAATTGGAAATCGGAGTTCCAATTCCAGTCGGCAAAAAAGTATAGGTTCTTGGTAGGATGATTCAATATCTGCTGCTATAATACCAACATCCATCTGTGGCGCCAATGGTCCAACATCATTAGACACGACGAGAAATTAGAAAGTAAATGTTAGACAAAGAAAGAAAGAAAGAAAGAAAGAAAGAAAGGAAACGATAGAAAGAAAGAAAGAAAGAAAGAAAGAAAACGATAGAAAAAGAAAAAAGGAAAAGAAAAAATGAATAACAAAAAATTAAATAAAGAAATAAAAATGAGAAAAGAAGGGAAAAGGGAAGAGAAAAAAGAATGAAAGAAAAAAGCAGACAGAAATTGCAAAACAAAAGAAAGAAAGAAAGAAAGAAAGAAAGAAAGAAAGAAAGAAAGAAAGAAAGAAAGTGATGGAAAAAGAAGAAAGGAAAAGAGAAAAAAGAATAAGAAAAAATTAAGGAAAGAAATAAACAAAGAAAAACGAGAAAAGAAGGAAAAGGAAAAAGAAAGAGGAATGAAAGAAAAAGGAAACAGAAATTTCAAAATAAAATAAAGAAAAAAGGAAGGAAACGGGAACGGAAATGCAAAGCAAAAGAAAGAGAGACTGTTTCTTTCTTTTGTTTTATATTTTGAAAGAAAGAAAGAAAGAAAGAAAGAAAGAAAAAGAAAGACTGGGAAACGGAAATGTAAAACAAAATAGAGAAAAAGAAAGAAAGAAAAATTTCCAAGAAGAGAGAAACATTGAAAATGGAGAAGGCGCTAATTACATTTTCTCTGAACGCAAAAGTAATGAGCAAGAAATCAACCAAGAAATTGTCTTTTGCTATTTATTTCCTCGACTACATTGTCGAAACCTTCAGGGTTGTTAAAAAATTACCAATAAATTCATAAACATTCGGAAGAAGAAATGCTTGAAAAATAAAAAAAAAATGAAAGAAAATCACGGAAATGTTATGCGGCGGTAAATATTTAGAAATATAGATTTATTGGAACAAATTTTATCGGCTTTTTCGCGCCGAGACAAACTATCAGAATTCCATTCACGGTGGATCAGAAGTGGAAAGTTGTCATTCCATTAGACTCATGGCGCAGAAATCAATTTTATTTTTTGTTTACTGTTTTCTTTGTTTTCTTTTTCATTCCACGATTTTTTGTTGTTCAGCGAGTATTCCAAAGTAAATGGCTCAATTGTACGAACATGTCGTTTCGCTTTTAACTAATAAAATAACAGAATAAAATGGAATTTAACACTCGACTTGATTGCGTACTTCCTTTTATGTTGATGATATATAAAATGGAGGCGAATGAAATTCCAAATGATCAAATGACGAAACTTACAGGTAATCGATATTTGATCATCAAATGAGATTTATTGATTTCGGCTTCAAGAGTTTACCTGTCTATGTTTATCTAATGATCTTTAATAATCACCTGTCCAACATCTATCTCGGGATGATTAATAATTGCCTGTCTATATCAATTTCATGATGTATGTACATCCCTGTATGGTGATTTTTTAAGCGTATCTTAAATGTGGCGCAAGGCCGAAAGTATGGGGCACCCAGGGAGGATCGAAATCACTACTCAGTCGTAATTGTTCTTGCGAGACAAGCTTGATAATCATTACACCACATCGAAGTGCCCTGTACAGATCGATTTTGGAACCGTGGTATTGCACTTAATTTGAAAGTTTGGATTTGACATGATCAATAACAACACAATTATTTTTCCAAATCGTTACCATTTTCTGAGAGGAATTTAAAGATTAAATTTATGTTTAAAATCGTAGCATTGGAATTCTGGTTGTCAGTGAAAGTCTTATAGCACAACCTTATAAAATTTAGAATTTACTGAAGCTATACAAATTGTATATGGACAAGAAGCATGGCATGATCATATTATTGCTAAATCATTTTGACATCAAATAAAAGCTTCATTTACTTCAAAGGGAAATTATACTGAACAATTTAGCTATATTATGATGTAATATGTCATACAGTGTATCAATTTTAGCGTGATTTTCAAGAAACAATGCAAATTGAAAACATTTTGTCCTATAATGTGTGCCCAGCACTATGGTGTAATATACAATTTTATCTACCTTTTGTTTTTAGTAATTTTGATCTAAAGACTGATCTAAATAATCTTATTCATAGACTAGACTTTTTTTGTAATCTTTTATAATTTTTTTTTACTTATCGAATACAGTAAAAAGATTGCATATTTTGCCTGTGGCGATTCATAATTAGAATTCAGATTTTAATATATTTTCCATTCAATGTATCTAATACAAAAAATATCAATTTTATTTAGATTTATTCTTGAAATAGTAAAATTCTGAAGTCAGTTTGTAAGCACACACCTGTGGAAATCAGGTATTTCTGTATATTTTTCAGCCTAAATGCTCAAAAGTTGGTAAAAGCAGTGAATCTAATTTTTGGCGTTATTACTTATCAGATCAAACCCCAGCATTCACACTAACAATTAATCTAACAATTAGCCAATTTTGTTGTTACACAGTATATATATATATATATATATATATATATATATATATATATATATATATATATATATATATATATATAAACTCTAAAATATCAATATACAGTGCATTGCAAAGTTTTGGAAATCACACCGAGTCATGAAAACATTTTTTTTTATTGAATTGTGCAAAAATTTAATAGATGAGAAATATATATTAAATTGAAAACTTAGTATTTATATATATTTATTATTGATTATTACCTTCACTTTGGAAGGCAGTGATGATGTAACAACTCTAACTCTTACATCCAATGGACCCAGCGATAAAAAAAAGGTTCGTCTACGAAACCCTGGAGTCGGGGTACTGAATATAACATAAATTCACTAAGTGACAAATTTTATATTTGTGTGTGTCTCGAACATATTTTCTTGGTTTTTCGTACTTATTTATGTATAAATTGTTCAAAATTTGAGTACTTTATATTTAAATATGTACTGAAGACCACGAAAATGGGACGAAATATAGAAAAAATAATTTGGGGGGAGGGAGGTAATAATGATTTTACTGATACTGGTCCTACTATTTAACCAAATGATGAGGGGAGAAAAGTAGATTGAGACCTTCCGCAACGGTATTTGCGCGTAAATGACCATTAAGACAGGAGTAAATTGATGTGTCATCAGAATAAATACAAAGTCGAAAACCTCGGGAAGTTGATTGATAAAAATCATCTAATATCTGTCCTCAATGTAGTGATTTCCAAATTTCACGGCGGAAATTTGGCGAAGAAGAGTTTTGGCATCGAATTAAAATTGGTCTAAATGTAGTTATCTCCGGTAAGCATCGCAGAAATTTAACAACCGAGTAAAAAAAAAAAAACAAACCTATGAAGCATCTGTAAAAATGTCTTATGTTCATGTTTCTGCTATTTTTCATATAAGGTATATGAGAGAATTTTCTCCTAAATCAAACTAAATTATGTATAATTATTGTACATGAATTAACAGTAGTGTAACTATAAGCCCAAATAACTTAAGATTTGTTTAATGTGCTTGTGTATATGTCTATGCGTATCAAACTGTCTCTCTCTCTCTATCTATCTCTCTATATATATAAAATATATATATAGAAATATATATATATATATATATATATAGTATTTACGATTCCAATGGAATAAATTATGACCATGGAATATTAGTGTTTAAGTTTTTTCATTATATATATATATATATATATATATATATATATATATATATATATATATATAAAAAGGCTAAAATAATAATGGAATAAATAATGGAATGGAAAATTATATATATATATAATATATATATATATATATATATATATATATATATATATATATATATATATATATTAAAAAGGCTTAAACACTAACATTACATGGTCATAATTTATTCCATTGGAATCGTAAATACGATCCAATTCATAAAACCTACAAATTCAAAAAGAAAACAGAAAAAACAATTCCGGAAATAAAAATAGAAATTAGAGAGAGTGTAACTATGAGAGTGTGAGACGAAGGTTAGAGCTAAAGAGAGGGGTAACAGACGAGAGAAGATGAGAGATTAAAACTTAACAGAGAGAAGTTTTAGAGAGGTGAGTTGAAGACGGTTCAAGTGAGAGAAATATGAATGTTGTCGGATGTCTAATACATTAAAGATGTCACCACAAAATGTATCCTTTCCGGTTACGTCTTCTATCCTCTTGGAATTTTTTATTCAAAAAATATATATGTATGTGTATGCATCTATCTATATATATTTATATATTTTACATATGTATGTGTATATTTACCACTAATATTATATATATATATATATATATAGGACAAGTATCCCAGTTTTATTATTAAAATAAGATACCAAAGATTTAGGGCGCCTTTCGGCCGACATTTCTTTAAAAATAAAATAGTCGGCAATATAAAACGTTGATAATAAATTTTTTTACAAACAACTGCTATTAAAATATAAATACCAAACTGTAGGAGGGAATTAGGAGAAAAAAAAAGGAATTTCCTTCCCAGTTGGACAACTGGTTCCCCGAATAGGGCCAAATTATATTTCAACTCCCGTTGTCTATACAAGGCAGGACGTTACATATTAATTGTAACAGACTCCAGGATGTCTAAATGAAATCTGGTCCTAGCCCTGTGCAAGACAGAAAAAAAAACTGAGGAGAATAATTCGTCCTGCAAGCAAAAGAATTTGAAATGTGTTCATGGATCGCGGAGTCATAAGTCTGTGAACGCCCGTATGTCAAAGACTCGTGTCTAAGCACATGTCCCGGGACATGCTGGGCGATCCTAACCTCCAACCTCCGGATGGTCTTGCCCACATTGTCGAGCTCACATCAACATTTATATTGGTATATTACTAAACTTTGTTGGTGGCAGGCAAGACGTGTATATATATATATATATATATATATATATATATATATAT